GCAGCAATCTCAAAAGAGTTTGTACACGCTTTAGGGTATACGAACATAGCACAAATCAACGGGTCATATCATACGTAAAGGACCCCTCCACATATATATATATATTTTTTTTTAATATATTTATATATATATATACACACTCACACACATACAAACACACACAAGCACACACACAGACACACACACACACACATAGACAAGCAAAGGAATTGCACCAAGCGCCTTCTTTCAGCTCCCCCGTTGCGTCCGTTCTCATTGTCGGTCAATATCGGTTTGATTGTCCCGAGCTTGAATTTCGTTCAATCACCCTTTCAAGGTCTATTTTCATTATCATGATGCAACGTTTGCTCTTCGAGACATCGTGGAGCCTCCTCTTTGGATGGCTAAGCAGAGTCTGCAGGACGTGTGGCAGCTTGGCCAGCAGTGCAAGCAAGAAGCTTCGATCATGCCCGCCTTGGCAAAATGCAGATGGCCGCCCTTCAGCCTGTCAGCGAATGGAGACATGAGGTATGGCCTCTTTTACTGTCACCCACTGCGTGCATGGGACCCGCTCGAAGTCTTGCGCAGACCTTACACACCGTTGGCTCTATTCGCATGTTGCACGTGCGCAGGCGGTCCTGCATGCCATACTTCTCTCAACATGTGCATCACTAGCTCTTACCAGGTACAAGCAAACGTTCCTCTACGACTATAGGCCTTCAGGTGACTTGCAGGCAAAGATCTGTTGTTGCTCTGTCTGGCAGGCGATGGGCGGATCTGGAAGTCCCCGCTGAAGAGCGTCTTCTAAGGTTGAAGCAGTACTTGACTGCCTGGCACGTTCCAGAAAGTCAGTATGTCCTTCGGCTCGACAACAGTGCATCCGCTCATCAAAAGAGGGCCAGCTGTGTGCAAATTTGTGGAATGCAAGCAAAGTCACACTCCATGGACTTGATTCAGCATGCAAAAGCACGAAGAAAATAGACCATTTGTGGCTCTTGCCTCTGCATCTGGAGACTTGGCAGCCGCTGATGCTCCGACGCAGTATCACATGTTCAGACCATGTCAGACCGGCTCAAAGCACTTCGAGAACGTCACAGGCTTTAGCTGAGTGCTGTCTGTTCTGTAGATGTTTGCAGCGGGCACTTTAAACCTGCAAGAGTAATGTCTGCCGCACTTGGTGAACCTGACCTCATGGCGCCATCCTCAGACTTTGCCGCGGAGGATGCTGAGCAGTTTTCGTGCTGGACCGAGGCATGGAGGTTTCTGCCAGCCAGCTTTCACTGCGACGAGAGGCCAGGCCCCGCCAGGCCCCGCTCTGAGAGTACCATAAAATTCGGTACTCGGGATGAGGCCGGCCAGGAGTTCCGGGCCAATTGCCGGCACCCAAGAGCCGAGCTTCATCTCCGAGGTTCGTCTGCCTAACAGAGGGGGCGGCGTTTTCTCGCGAGGTGGCCCCAGCGAGAGGCAGACGTGGCAGGACCGGACCAAGGTTCCGTTGGGTTTTTGCTGGTTCGAACGGAGAAGCTTAAGATGTCCAGCCCCAGCCACGACACTGTCTGAGGCTGCCAGTCGCAAGCGCACGCCGCCGGGAAGTCGGGCAGCGCACCGAGCTTGTAGCTTGAAGGACTGCCACCGTCCCCAGCGCTCACTTTCAGGTCGCTTTGTTTTCTCAGATCCGCGACTGTGCGAACGCCCAGCTCTCGGTTGTGCACTTGTAAATGATATCATCCAACGATTTGCCGGTACACCTTCGCTGTCTCATCCCCCCATGCAGATCATTGAGAGCTTCGTCTGCCACTACGCAGCTTTGGGTTTCTGCAAGTTGCTGCCTGGTGCACAGCATCCGCATGTTAAGTGTTGAGGCAGGCTCTCAGATGTGGTGGATCTCTCGCAGCGGCTGTCCAGGTTGTACCTCGATGACCCCAGCGATTCCTCGGCAGAAGTGCTGCAGAAGAGCGGCTGGGTGCGACCAGTTTCGTGATTGCTTTGCGGCATTCGTGCATCTTTGCCTTGGGGGGTGGGCTTCAGCGGCGGACGAGTCACAGGTACAAGCGGGCTTCGTGGAACTTGTCGCAGTCGACTCACAACTTCGTGAGCAGTGGCCTTCCATGCCTTCGTGGGGTTGCCGCCTGAGCCTGCGGCAGGGTCAGCTTTTTGGCCGTTTGCATTCGCCGTTCGCATGTGCTTCCGCAAGTTTACCAAACTGATTCCAAGAACGCGTCGGGCGCTTTGCGGATATGGAGGCTTCCATGCTCCATGCTGGCTTGTAGTCCCTGGCCCTAGTCTGTCTCACGTGAAGCGTGAGGAGGCGATAGCGGGTTCCTTGAAGGAATTGAATCCAGGGCTTTGCCTGCCGTTGCCTTCAGCCAAAGCTGCAAGCAAACCACCCTCCTGCAAGCACCGGCCGAATCATGCCTGAATACGAACCTGAGCCCGAGTACATCGCGGCAAGTCACTGTAGGACTGTTAGAGAAGAATTCTAGAGTTCTTTCGAATGCAGCGAATGCAGCGCATTTCTCGCAGCTCCCAGAGCAGGTGCAGAGCCGACAGATCCTGAACAACGAGCATGCGCTGCGGCGGGCCGGCGAGCAAGGAGCCCAGAAAGCGCATTTGCCCGTGTGCATGTCTGTTTTGTCTGTGTGCATGTCGAGGCTTCGCTTGGACTGGCTGCTGCACGTGGACAGCGACGAGCTGTTTGGAGCTTATTCGCAAGGCTGTGGCGGAAGTGATGGCCAGTCGTGTGTCAAGCGTGCTCTTCTGCATGTGGACGTTCGACGGTTCGAAGAGGCTCAAGCGTAAAGAGCCCGGCAGAACCCAGCTTCCACAGATTTTGTACCTTCCTCTGCGCCACAGTCATGCTCCCGGAAGAGGCCAGTACAGTATGACAATTCGCCATGCCGCATTCCGAAGTGTAAGCTGGTCCGACGTTGTTCCTGCAGTCGCCGTGCGCGTTCTGCACGAATCGAGTTCTTTGCGATTTCTCATTCTAGACCAGGTGCGCTGTCAGACTGATGCGAAAACACGCAAATCTCGTGCAGGCTGCAGCCGCTGCCCGAAAGCTGCCCAGCTGAGCAATTGTTTTGCAAGACCCGATGCGCTTCGACCGGTGGAACTCAACTACTTGTCGTTTGTTAGCATGTCAGGTCGGTCAGACGCTCAAAGATTGCTTTCCCGGAGTTGACAAGTCCCGCGTCCGTCCAGCAGGCCTGAGCCTCTTTCAGATTGACCTCGCCGCACCCAGCCGGAGCCAGGTCTTGGCTCGACATGCAAAGCTTGCTGCACGGTGGCGATCTGACACCTCCACATTCAGCGCGCTAAACCTGGAAGTCGCCGCTCGGCAGCACAGGTGTAGCTTTCGTCGCAGGTGCTGAGATAGGAGCACCCTCTGCTCTGTGGCACAGGCGGATGTGAAGCCGTCGCTGCAATCTCCTCTGTTCACGCTCCTCCTCAAGTCTTCGTTCAAGCCTTCGGAGAAGGCCCAGGCCAGGCTGGTGCAAGTTTTACACACCCTCCATGACTCCACGACCTGCTGGCGAGGTTCCGGATGCTAAGCCAACCGTGGAGCCAGAACAGGACGAGCAAGCTCAACAGAAGGCCTGTGGCACTTGTGGCCCAAGATGGCCCAAGAAATTTTGACGTCTGACAGATGCGCATTGCGCCAGGCCTGGCTGGCGACCAGACAGAAGCTTCTCAGCTTTCGAAAACTTGTTGAGGACATGCGCAGGGCCACAGAGGCCGGTTAGTAATGCACTTCCCTGGAAGGACTCTGTGCCTCCTGAAATGGTTGGCCTCGGGACGAAACTGATGATTGTTCCCAGCATGGACAGTGTCGGTTCCTGCCTCGCTGGATGAGTGCACGAGTCATATCTTTCTGCGAAGATCACCTGGTTCTGTGATGGTGAATCGGAAGGACCCACTCAAGCGACAGCAGTCGGAACCGTGTCCGCCCACATTCACCGAAAAGTCGATGCCCAAGCGGCAAACCTCAACAAGAGAGCCGAGGACATCCCCTGTGCATGTTGCTTCGATGTGGATTTTCCAGCTCAGAATATGTTGCACTTTGAGCCTTTGAGTGCTGCCGGTGTTCTTCTGATCGAGGAGTCGTGGCGGCTCAAGATCAGGGATGTCCCCTGCGATGGTCTCTTGGCATGGCTAATGCTTGAGCCCGTGCCATCCTAAAGTAGCTGTTTTCAGCAGTCTTCCAGCCCTTCGAGGCCTTGCCGAGCCTCGGATTGCGATTCAGCTCCTGCCCATGTTGTTTTACGCCCTCGCATGCCGCTTGCACCCCTCCTGTTCCAAGTGGCTGCGGCAGGACTCCATCCGCAAATGCCTACCGCGTCGGAACTACACCGCAGTCTGACATTGAGAGCTTGAAGCGGAAGGCGCAAACCCTCATCTCGCGTGGACAAAGCTCGGCATCGACCGCGATGTACAGCAGACACTGTACCTCGTTTGCTCGAGGTGCAAAGCTTGCTGAACAAAGTGTGCCCTGAAAATTTGGCCACCATCGTTGGGCAGATCGCCGCCGTTCAGGCACTGAATTGGCAGTGGACAAGACGCAGAGTTGGTTCATCCAGCCCTGGTGGTTCTGTCCAGGTCGAGGGGCAAGAGCAGCTCGAAGCGATCATTGAGTTGATCTTCCGGAAAGCAGTCACCGAACCACACTATTGTTTCTCGGCCGATTCGATTGACCAAGGACCTGTTCCGAAACCATGAAATCTACAGCCACTTCTCCTAGCATGTCAGATCCAGCGATTCAGGCTTAGTGTAGACCGCCAAAACAAAGCCTCGCCCTTAACAGGGGTCAACAAAAACAGAGATAATAATTGGGATCCTACATGCATTGTGAGAGCCTTAAAGGAAAGTTTGTTCATGGGTAGTGAATCGAACCAGCGCTTGCTTGTGTGCAGTATGGGGGCCCGACACGATCGATGAACATGAACGGTGCACTGCAGGCGAGACATATGCGGATCTGGTTTTCAGCCTCAAGTCGGTTTACCCAGACTTCCCCAGCCCCGATGGTGGAAAGCCGGTGACCTTTCGAAGAGCCTGGGCTGCAACGCTGAGCAGACGGGGCACTGGGCAGCTGCCTGGGACTCTGTCAGGTTTGGTCCTCAACATTTGTCAGAACGAATTCGAGGAGCTGTTGGCATCTTCCGCTTCCTGGACGGCACTTTTTCCATTGTGGTGCATCCTGCCCCGACGGCCTTCACACTGAGGACCTTACGGAAGAAGAGAAGTCCAACTGCGATGCAGAGGAGAAGGCCATCATGTATGAGGGCGCCCGAACTTGCAGTGTTATCACTTTGTTCGCTGTGGCGCTGCTTCCAGAAGAGGCACACCTGATCAAGCAAAAGAAGCACAGAATGTGTGCAAACATGAAGTCCGCCACTGATCAATCACTCTTCTGTGTTTGCATGGCAGCAGTCACTTTTTTGCCGCTTTTCCAGTGGCTTAGGTTTATCGGGCATCTGTTTCTGCGACAGCTTCTGTCCACGAAAGTTGTCGGCTCCGTCATCTGCGAGCTGGTTTGCTTCGATGACTCTTGGCAGGACTAATCGGGATACTCAGCCTGGCACTAATCAGGTCCAAGGAGGTAAAAGCCTTTGCAGAGCCCACTTCAGATGCAGGGAGTCTTCGTCTTGTCTTCTGAATGCAATGCAGCCATCCTTCGGCATGTTTGATGATAGCTTCACTGCAGAAGCCGTGAGAACGACATGGAAGTCAGTGACCAGCGTGTGGGCAACGATTTCAAGCCCGCAACTACTTCCTGCATCTGTACTGTCGGGACCTTTGCGACGCTCTAGTTACTGTTGCGCGTCAGAAATCCATCGATGCGGCAAGACACCTCGCTTGACAGGGAGCCCTGGTCAAGAGGAAGCGCTCTGATACCAACTGCGACGCGGACAAAAACGGCATTGTATAGTTGACTCTGCTGTCCGGGGCAAACTTGTACAAACGTGTGCGGAGGAATGCCGCGCAGTAGTGCTAATCTGTTAGTCTATGTGGCGAATTTCGTTGTATTGGAGACATGGCGCAGCAGAGCGCCGATCAACATGCCTCACTCTCTTCACGCAGCAGATCTCTGGTCTCAACGAGCAGCATTGTGTCCAGAACTGCTTGAAGTGGTGCGAACGTCCCGATGACCGTCACCTCGGCGCCGGTTATCCGAGCAGGACGTGCTGCAAACACATTTTTCTGGTCTTCTTCAAGGCGGTGTTTGCTCCCAAACTCGAAACAGCATCATACCCTCCATCATGAACGCCCTCAGGAAGAGTTTTGCTCTCATCCCGTCAAGTATGCCAGATTCAAGGAACAAAACATAGACACGGGCCGGTGCAGTGGTTTCGCGACAGGTGTCGCAGATGCCAGCGCCGCACTTGTGTCAGAGTGCCCAGCCATCATGCAAAACACGAACAAGGATCGCAAACGATCATGCCTTTGAGGATGGCACGGCAGAGAGAGAGAGAGCGAGAGAGAAACGATCATGCTGCATGAATCATGCTACTTCGCTGGGTTCGTGAGTCATTCAAAAAAGGCCGTGGCGTACACTAGTCTGGTGCTGTCACTGCGACTCCTGTGGAGCAGGGTTCTCCCGCGTCTCGCAGAGAAGCGTACCAATGCGTACCATTGAAAGTTGAAAGCATATGGGCGATGTACACGCTTGGGCATTGATCAGTTTGAGATAACACAGCTGCTGCCACCTCGACCCTAGCTTTCGTCCCCGCGCAAGTCTCGCTGTGGCTAATGTGGCTACAGCGACGGATCACGCTATGACGCCGATCAGTTTTGTAGATGTGGGCCGGATGGGCACAAGTTACCGCCAGCATGAGCGTGCTTGTTTGCCCGTCGCAGAGCAACTCAACAGAGTGTGTGAAGTGTAATCTGGTAACCCGAGCGTTCTGGAGTCCAGGTATTCGAGACGCTTACTTGTATGAGCAGTCCGGAGAATCCAACCTTTACAATCGGACGGTAAGCTAGGCCTAGGCAGAGAGGAGATGCCACGCTTTCAACCGCACGATGCATGCAAAGATGCCGCACTGAGCATTGCCACGCATCTACCGCGAGAAGAAGTACCTAAACTGTGTGCTACTGCTGGACACTCCCAGCATCAAATCGATGCTCGATGAAGCGTTCGGATTCCAACTACTGTCAAGAGCAACCCTGAAGAGCTGCATATTGGCAGTTGAATGGCGCGAGCACTCGAAGCTATGTGACAGATTAGCCGAGGATGACAAGACAACGCCCGCCCTTGGCTCAGCATGTCTTGCCACCCGCAGTCTTGAAGTTGAACTTCAGTTTCCAGCTTGCCATGCTTGTGAAGGAGGAGCATGCGCTTGAGTGTGCTTGTGAGCTGCTCCTGACAGCCGGCTATACGAATCTTGTCCGACATGTTTAGAGACATCTTTTCCTGGAGTTATGCCAGTGAACATCCCAAGCAGTGCAAAGGGTCATCTACGTAACAGTCCAAGCCAACAATAACAATGAATATGAGCCTCTGGCGGGAGTATAACTTCAACAACAAACATCCGACAATGAACCGAACTGGCTGGAGTGCGATTCATGTAGTTCTGGGAGCGGCAAACCTTTGGATTTTTGCGGACGTGACCAGCGCGGGACAGTGGACGGCTCGCACCCACAGTAGCCAATCACTTTACACTGAAAGCAAAAGACCCATGATGTCGCCACAATGTTTGTAGCCAGAAGCAGATCCAAGGATGGAGAGCCTACCAGCAGGAGAAGTGGCGCTGAGACTAGCATGTGACAGACTCAAGGACTGTGCGCTCAGCATGGCTGTCTCATTTGCACTGTTTCCCTTCGTCACCTGTAATAAGACTGCAGGACTTGAAGGTGCGCAAGACACCTGAAGGAAAGAATGCGTCGCCCGATCGCATTTCTCGTCACGGCATGCATGCTTTCAAAGGTTGTGATATACCGATTCCGGATATCCGGGAGTCGCGCATCGCTGTGTAAGGTACAGCAAAAGGATGCAATTCATGATCCAGGACTGTGACGGATTTCATGATGGTAGTCTCTGTATTAGCATTTCATGCTCTGACGTTGCTATGATTTGGAAATACATTGCGATATTGAGCTTCTGACGGTACCGCCTTGCACTTTTCAGGATGTTTTGGAGACCCGGGCCGCCGGCTGGTCGAAAAAGGCTCGTGTTAAAGGGGTTGCAAATAAGCGTGCTGCGATGCCCCGTCTTGCCGTGGTTTTCGGTGATGAAGGTCTTCAAGGCCTCGGCCAAGACCAAAGAGGAGCTGCGCGAAAGCAGTGCCGCTTTCCCAAAACTTGTGTACTTACTGCTTATATTGCTTCCTGCTCTGTCGATGGGATGGGATGCCCTGCTTGTCACACGCTTTCATCCTCGCGCTTGGGCACTGGCATCCGAGGAGAAGGCCAGTGGAAAGGACACAGTGGCAGAGCACGTGGTCACAGGCTTCAGCAATGTAACCACAGCGGATTCTGGATACCGGCCTAGCGGCGATAAAATCCATGCCTTGCACCAGGAAAGCGACCTGTGTACCTCGGCTCCAGGCTGGAACAAACCACGTCCGTTTACGTCACAATGTGCACCGCATTCTGCTATGCCAGGTGAATCGTTTCTGCTCCAATCTGTGTAAGCCACTGAGTGGCCGGAGGTCACTTCTTTTTCCGACTCGTGCTTTTAATCCGGCCTGGTTGCAGCGGCGTAGCGGCTTGTCACTTGTGGAAGTCATTCTGGAATTCAGCGGCTACGAACGCAAGCAGCATCCCCGCAACAAGGCATGCATTGAACCAAGATCCATGTCTTCCTTTTTTGTCGACTCCCTTCTGCAGAGGATGTTCTTCAATCATGAGATGATCATAAGCATTGTGCATTGTGAGCTTGGGTTGGAGTTTCTGCAAGCAGGGAGTCAAGGACGTTCCAGTCCATATCGTGCCATATCGCTTTCGTGAAAGGTGTAGTGGAGTCTCCTTTTTCAAGTAGACTGTGTCACACGAAGGGTCACTTCAAGAACTCCAGTCCTTTCAGCTGCTACAGTGTTACCTACTAGCAAGCAGAAGATCGAATGTGGAAGCAGGTACCGTTGTTTGAAGGGTTCTTGCAGCAAGGGCGAGCTCGCTGAATTGCTTCAGCAGGCTGTAGAACGTGTCTCCCTGACAGCTGCCGGATTCTGGTTGGCGCCAGCTCTGTAGGGGAGATGCTGCAATTCTTCGCTTGGCCTGCATCAAGTCTGCGACTTTGTCCCCCGAGTTTACTACTGCGAGCTCTGTTTGAGATAAGTGTGAGGGGAGAAGAGTGGAAACGATCACCGGCAAAAACACAGCTCGCGCGCCGAAGTAAAACAGAAGCACCGGGCAGAACATGCTTGGAATTGGCAGAGCTCTTGGGCTCGTGCTTCGTTTGAAAGACTAGCTTCGACAAGCTTCAGCCCATCTGGGTCACCCCAGAGCAGCATGTCGCTTGCTTGGGGCGTCCGAGGACAAGGCCCGCCCTGGGTTTGCATCGCTCAAAGCCCTGTGGACCTGTGGAGCCCACAGGGAGCGCCGAGTCGTCATGTCGAGGGGAAGGGAGGGCTGCGGTGCCGCTGTTGCAGGCATTTGCCCACCCCGCCCATGGTTGTGTTGCCCGACTTCACAGAAGGTCTGTACAAAAGCGGCCCAATCTGCTGCTTTCAGCTTTCATCGGTAGTCTTACGACTGTCTTCCGGGCTGTGGTGCATGCCCCCCCTAGGCTGTGTCTTCCTTCGGCTGCACCAACCTTCTTTTCAGCGTTAACTGCTCGAGGCTGCCGGTTCCCGTGGTGCAGTCAACAAACCGAGTGAGAAGTCTCCCGATTTCCATGTATCATTCTGCCAGGCTGCACAATGCCAGCGACTCATCCAGGAGCATTGCAGGCTGCATTTTGCCAATTGCACTGCTGAAGCTGCGGCGAAGTAAGGTACACCTTTTGCAATGCACGTTGCTAAGATGAGTTATCTTTTGCTTCATAATGCAGGCCTGCAAATTTTGCAGCACCAAGGTCGAAGGTGTGCCAGAGACGACTGATTCGACGGATGTGCTGCAAAGCGTGGAGAGCTTAATGGTCAAAGGAATCCGGCTGTAGGGAGGCTTTCGGTGCCAACCAGGTTCGTGTGTTCCGCCAGAACATGGGGCTTGTCCCGCGAAACCCGGCAGCAGGACTGTCAAGTTGGCCAATTTCAGTCCTTTGAACATCTTTGAACCGTAACCCGTGATGAGCGTTTGATTGTTCTTGCGGAGCAGGCTAGGTATGAACCAGTGCGCATGCCGTGTGGCATGGAGAGGACGTGCCTTTTTTCAATGGCAGCCTGCATCTTGGAAAGCGGATTGGATGGGGGGTTCTTGTGGGGTTTCCTGGAGTTCACTCAGGCTACGACTGGGCGGATGGTCGCAGACCCAAGAAGAGCGGACTGTCCAGCACCGCAACATTCGATTGGCGAAGGTTCATCTCATATGAGAACGGGAAGTCTGCCGTCAACGTTAAGAATGCTAGGCCGGGGGCCCAGATGCCTGTAAGACTGTAGCAAGACCATGCAATCTGTCACATTGTGGCAGACAGTCATAGCGGTTCATAGCGAGTCGGAGGGCAGGTTTGAGAAGCTTCGTGATGTTTCCCCCGAGCCAAAAAAGGGCTGCAGCATTGCAGATTGCAGGTGGAACCGAAAGGAGGTAGCTTCTTTCGAAGCAGCATTACCAATCCAGGCGGGCGCTATGGTTAGGAGGCAGGATCCTTGACACTCCACTTGCAGAGCATGCTTTGCCCGATCTTGCCAGCACCACAGCCTGAGGAAGTGCCTCTCCGTTTGCATGTGGGAAGTCCACCTGGCTCGCTTGGCCCGCTCGCTGTTCTTGAGTTTGTTTCAATCGTCTTTTCCAATTGGAATCGCAATCATCACTATACAACCCCTCAAAACCGCGATCAATGAGATTTCTCTTGTTGCTAGTTCTGGCATATATCAATGATTCGATGCTCAGGTTTATCCTCAGCTGGAGACCGGCGCGACAAAGCAGCCAGATGGCTCGACCTGCACCTGGCCGGATGCCCCAATCCTGCTGAACCGCTTCAACATGACGTAGGGTTTTAACTGTGGGTTTGGTCGTCAGGGCATATTGTATGTCTGTATGCATGCATGCATGCATGCATGCATGTACGCCTATGTAGACACATGCGTGCGTACATACATACGTGTCTTCGGACATGCTTGCATACGTGCATACACAGGTTGACACAGATGCAGGCATACACGTGCATAAGCCGCATATACATACATGCATATATGCCTGCATGAATGCCTATGCGCACGCAAAGACATCAACACGAGACTTACACACACCACACGGGCTGCGACATGGTTAATGGGCAGATGCAGGTGTGGAGCTCAAGGGATCAGGTGGCATATCTACGTATCAGAGCCGTTCTGCTCAGTTCCCGCGATCTTCCAACTTCGAAACATGAGCAGCGGAACGTCCTTGTTTGCGGCGCTGGGGCTTTTGGGTCTGCTTAGGCTGGAGGAGTTTTTCAGAGCACTGTGTCATGGGAGCCCAACTCATGGCCAGGCTATGGTAGCCGGTAGACCACCACGAAATCTGCAGGTGTGTGCGGAGCTGTACCAACTTGATTGTCTCCAAGGGAGCGCCGCAAACCTAGTCAGAGACAAGCGGATGTAGCCGTGTCTCTCTGTTCCAGACAGCTCAGGTCTGCTGATGGTTCTACCTTGTTTTCCTACACGGCTGATTCTGGAAGTTTGTGGCGCAACTGCTTCAGGAACCACTACCGTAGCCAAAATGGTCAGCCGGTTCTGCATTATGCAGGCGACAGGCATTAAACTTCGGCCGCACCACAAGGTGCTCATGCATCCAAGGTATGGCACACTGGGACATCTGCCGGCCGGACAGCACAAGCCTGACGAAAAGCGCCAGATCTGGGACTGGGACTCCGGAAAGTACTTGGGAGAGATTGATGAGGTTCCTTACACATACAATGTGCCTTGATTTGGTTCTGGGCCGACAGGCTATTTTGCGTAAGTTGGCAAGCTTCTGCCGACCAGTGCTTTGAGCACTTGACTAAGGTGATCGGAAATCTCAACGAACATGGGCTGGCCATCGGTGAGACAACTTTTGGTGGTAATGCGCCCGGTCAGCATTGTTCCAAAACGCTCTGGTTGATGCGGCTGGAGAGATGTTCTGAGGAAACCTTGGGTGGAGGCGAGGGTGTGATGGATTATGGGAACTTGATTTGGGTGACGCTGCAGCGGAGCAAGACTGCCCGCGAAGCCATCCTGACGTTCGACAAGCTTGTCAGCGAGTATGGCTATGTTTCAGACGGGGAGTCTTTCACGATCGCTGACCCAAACGAGGCATGCATGTAGTCGCATGATTTGCGCTGCCACCCACGCATCAGTTTTCACTTGGCGTGTATCTTGTTTCGGAAGGTGTGGGTCCTGGAGATGATTGGTAAAGGCAAGTTTGAGAAAGGAGCCATATGGGTGGCAGTCCGAATTCCAGATGGACATGTCAGTGGTCATGCCAACCAAGCTCGCATTCAGAAGTTTCCGTTGAACGACTCTTCCGTGTGTGTCTACTCTGATGATGCACGGTCCTCAGTCGTTCAGCAGAGCATTGTCACCTGAACTTCATGAGTGACCGTGTTCTCTTGAGTCTTAGTTCTCTCACTCGCATGTTGTACTTGATTGCGCTTGGATGAGCGAGACTTATCCGGCACATGTAATCTTTGTTCAGAAATGTGGGACTGTAGACGCACGATACTGGGCAGTGTTCACAGGCAGGGCTTCTGCAGTTGCACATTTGCTCTGAAAGGGTTGGCGGCTGTCGAGTCTAATCAACTCCTTGCCTGAGGCCAGGAATGGCAGGCACACTTATAATCGCCAAGGTCATCAGCTTTGCTGAGAAAATCGGGCTGTGGGATAGCAGCCGGAAGAAGGAGGACTTCAGCTTTGCTGACACCTATGACCCCATCACTTTTGCTGGAGCACGCCTGAGCGATGCCAGAGTGTGGTCTTTCTTATCCAGGGTCGCTGCAGACCGCAGCTTTGAGAAGACGTATGAGAGCTATGTGCTTGGCCACAACGTTTCAGCTGCTGCTCGCATGCCTCTCTCTGTTGAAGCTGGTGCGAAGATATCTGCGCTTGACCTGATGTCCTACATGCGAAACCATTACGACTCCTTGATGAAGGTGGCAATGTTTTGCTAAGATCTATTCTGCAAGCGCCACAGCTCAGGAAGGCACGGTGCTCGACTCCCGCAGCGACGTGGGGGCAGGACCTCTGAGCTGGTCAACATGTAGGATGCCGAAGTATCTCCCGTCTGACAGGACCTTCAGGTTCTCCCTTCAGGGCCAGGCCTCTCGAGTGGCACCTCGGAGCCGACGCGTACGTCCACGAGCGCAGCGTTGGCACGCCCCAGGTTCGGCCACGAAAAGCTGCCGACACTGGCCGCAGCATCTCCCACGCCCTGGTGTCAGCAGGCTGGATGGAACTTCATCGCCCAGCTTCGATCATGGCTTCCACCAGCTATTGGCGGGCTGCTCTGGTTTGGAGTCGATGACGCATCATTCTCAGTGCATGCTCCTTTTCATGGAATCTTGGATGATATGCTGTCTAAAAGTAGCAGTGGGCTTGTTATCATGCCACAGACCGAAGATAAGAAAAGCTTTATTTAGTCTTTCAACATCACAGGCGGTACAACGCGAGTTCCGCACAGCTATGCCGATGGAAACGGGGATGCCTTGACGTTCTCCAGGGACTCTGCATTTTGGGCATTCAATACCGTGGCGAACTTTCTGTACCCCAGGCACAGCGGCAAGCCTGCAATCTTTTGTGGCTCGTTGTGCCGGAGAGGAGGGAGAGAGAGAGAGGGGGAGAGAGGCAGCCCAGCTACAGCTCGATATGTAAGGTAAGGGAAGAAAGAGCCCGAGCGAGGATGATAGAACAGGTTACCTTGAAATGGGGTAACACATTGTGTGGTCGGGCGGGCCAATGGCCTGAGGTTCGAGCAGTCGACCCCTACGCCCTGCAGAAAGAAAGAGGCAGCCCAGAAATGCTGAGCCCGCTGTGTCGTCTTTTGCAACACTGTCGAGAGACCCAAATGCCGTCCACTCACCAAAACATTGGGTGGTCCGGCGGGCCAATGGCCTGAGGGTCGCCAGACGAACCCTCAGCCCGGCAGAAGAAAGAGGCAGCCCAGCATGAACGGAGCGGGGGAGATACAAGCAGGCTCCAAGGTCCTAGTCCCAGGGCAGCTTTGACTGAACATGAACTCGACAGAAGGAAGCACACACACACACACACACAGACACAAGTCCACCGCGATGGCGGCACGACAGCCCGCCATATCCGACATTATCCGACCTAGGACCTAGGATTTCTCGATCTAGGTAAATCATCGGGTAGTGCCGAGTCTTGGTACTGGCACATCTGCGACTTGTAATGTTCTGGTGGGCATGATAAATGTGCTGCTTCGTGTGACAGTTTTGTGGGTCTGATGCTAAGATGCCGTGTGATCTTTATGTTCCATTATGTTCCATTCATTTCGCCTCCATCCTGGCTTGTGCTTGATTTCGGAGTCAACAACGCGATCTAGTTACCGAATCAAAACTCGATTCCATTCACTTTATTATCCTAGCATAAGATCAACCCTCACCAACTTGTCCAAACTCGTGGGTTTAAAGTGTGCAAAAAGCAGGTGCTGGAATGTTCGCGGGGCACAAACCTGGAGCAAAGGCGAACTCTGTTTTATGTCTGGTTTTTCCAGCTGCGATCCCTAGCCCTAGATGGACATGCTACACTTTACGGCCATTTCGTGCATTTTGCCCCTTCCGTTGACACTCAGAGTTCACAGTGCACGACTGCACCGGGTCCTCAGGAAGGTATTGTTTCTGTTGGCATTGCTGTCGCACTGGCATCTGAGAAGCGTGACTTCGGCCTGCTTCCGAAGAGCGTGCCGAAGCATGCTGCAATATTTGCCGCATCCTGCATGAAAGGATGAGGGGCGTGTCGGTCCTAGCACGCCGTATCCGACTTTGCAGGTGGTTTGCGGCGGCTGGCGTCGTGCAGCAAGCCGGCGAGGCGGAGGAGCACTTCGCCCGGGCACTGGAACTGGAGGCGCGCTCCGAAGGGCGTCTTCTGACATCAAGGTTAGCCTTGGCCAGCCTTGGTCGCCGGCGCAGGAACTGGTCGCAGTGGCAAAGTATCGAAAGGATCCTGCAGCTGCCTTGGAGTACTTGCGCCCTGCCGGCATCTGATGTTTGTTGGGAGCCGTGCGGTCGTGTGTAAAAGGTGCTTCTCAACACACTGAGTTCCGAACTCAAGGACCGCGGCAGACGGTGCAAGGGCCGACAAAATTGTTCAAGAAGAGTGGGCTCTGTTTGGCCAACTCATGGTGGTCCACTTAGATCCAGCTCGTTGAGGGGTGGTTTCTCTGTGCGGTCTTGGAAAGACCCTCTGGCAGCTGAGAGGTAACCTTCCGTGACGGCTTCCACATTTCTTCCCTTGGGCCACAAGCGCCTGACCACGGAGGTCGCCAGGGAGGCATTGTGCCGAAGGCGGAGCGGCGGAGCTTCGGCCCCCGGTCGTCATTTGAGATCATAAGTCCCTCAGGTCGAAGAGGTCGGATATTCGAACCGCTGGTATGAACGTATCGCACAGGCTGGAGAGACATTGTCCAGGACCATCCAGGGCCCACGGCTTGCTGACATCTCGTCAGGACACGGGGGATCACTACAAGGTGCCCAAGACATCGGGCCAAGTGCAAGCGCTGGAGCAGACGAAGCTGCGCACCTTGAGCAGAGGCACTTGAACCCGCAGTGCAAGCGATGCTCCGGAGTGCTTCCCAACCAGTCGTGTGCGCTAGGAATCGCCGCACGGGATGCGTGCCTCGGCTGGCCATGGGGGCTTGCAAGAGACACTGCAGTCCCAGGCAAGCAGTTGTATGACTGAGGAAATCGCCTGCTGGCCTGCATCTTGAGCTGGTAGTCTGAGCTGACGCAGGGGTTCCTTCAGAGTCGCACGGCTTCGCTGTAGCGACCATGACATTGCCACGGCTGCTTGGGCCGTCCGAAAGGAAGTTTGAAGCTCATATGTACGCAGCCGGACACCGCGCATGTTTGATAGCCGCTTGTCCAAACCTCAAAAAAAGGAACGCAGCATGCACAGAGACCTTGACATTCCACTCCGAGCTGCTGTCGGCGTGCTGGATGTCTACAATGCCAGGTAAAGTAAAGGGCTCCTGCTTTGTTTTGGCACCCTCCATGTTTAAATCCACCCTCATTTCACCAATCTTAGGAATCTTCCCCGTCTTCAGTGTTCCGCCTGAGTTCCCAGGTTCACCAACAACGACCACCTGTGGCAGGCAGCTGTCAATCGTCGCAAGGATGGGTGCCCCATCAGTGCGAAACTGTGTGTTGCATCTGTGCTTTCCCTGGGCACTGCAGTAGGAGGGCCGCCTGTCAAATGACGAAGAGGTGCCGTCGACTCAGATCCTCCCCTTCGTAAGCACTCTTCTTCAGAGATGGTGCCAAGTCCGCGTCTTGACCTCTGCAGAAATGTCGCGGCCTCGTATTTTCTGGCTGGGCATTTCCTCGTTCATAACGCTTCAGGGTCGGTCCACGCAATTGGCAATCGCAGCTGTTTGCAGTCTTTTTGTCCTTCCGCGGGGAATTGCATTGCAGAGTCGACATGATGCTATCTTGACCGATGTGTGTCAGCGCACTTCAGCTCGTGTGCGGGTTGATGAGGCCATGCTGCTTCATTTCTGTGTTTGTGATTTCGCTTCATTCTGGCGCAAACGCTGGACACAGTCGCCATCTGAGGAAAGCTGTCATATGTTTCTTCCAGCACTCATATGCAGGCAGACTGGGCGGAAGGCGTATGGATGTAGCATTGCATGCAATATTTGACATGCAGCAGCACCGAGGCTCGGTTACCTCTCAGCAAGCGACCAGTTCCGCGTCCGCACGACCTCCGGAGTTCCAGCCTTGGTGAGCTCGAGCAAAGGCTTCAGATGCTCAGCAATTTTTGCCGTCGCTCGCGGCTTGAGGCCATGATGGCTCGCTTCTACCGCCTCCAGTGCGAGCATCGACAATGGGAGGTGTAGCCACGAGCATATTGCTTGAGAACCTGCCTGGCTCACATCTAGGCAAGAGAGCTCTTCGAGGCCATGTGCGTCGTCCAGGACAGCCAGGCCTACAAGTGCGTGGCAAGTCTTCCGGTACGAGTTTTTTTAGGCATCGTGCTTGATGGAACGCTCTTGCGTCGTCATGGATGTTTCATGGAGCCTACACTTGCCGCAGCTTGCTGCTCAATGTCCCCTGAATTCATATTCGAAGCATCGCTTCAAATGGGAAGGACGCATGGCTGATTCACTGGAGTCCACCTGCTCGCGACCGGATGATCCGGTCTTACCCGAGTATCCCGAAAAAGCCATGCGCTGCATGTTGTCAGAGGTTCTGGAGGACGATGCGCCTGGAAATTCCATCGCATACCTTGCCAGCACAGCAACACAGCAAAGCACTGTCGAAAGAGGACAAGCTCCGGTCACTGGAGCTGCGGCTCGAGGCACGTTTTCGAGATTTGCTGCGACGGGATGTCGTCCCCAGACTCAGGTCCTAGCCTCGTTTCTCTTCTCAGTCGCTGTCAGCTGATATAAGGCCGCTACATACTCCTTTGTGACCTTACCCAGGCGTGTTGCCGGTGAGCAGCTCGGAGACACAGCAACCGAGCGGCAGTTCCACTTTGCGCGGTGCAGTAGTCTGCACTTCACTCACTGCAGTCCTTCACAGCGTTTCTGCGTCCTATCGCATCTGCATCCAGGAATCCGAAGTGTCTTCAAACTTTCCCCATCTGCTCGCAATGCCGCCAACATTGATTGCCCCGGCCGAAGTCACCGAAAGCACAAGCAAGGACAGCTTTGCACTATGTTGCATCTAACGCCCGTTGCTGACACTCCTTGACCTTGATGCGGGAAAGGCTGAGTGAGAGTGTGTGGTTGTCCGGGAGGAAACTGCCAAGAAAGACCGTGGAGAGGAGGACATCCAACCTTGTCGTCAGAAACAAGTCAGCAGTCTTGCCTTTTTGTGCCGCTTTGCAGGAAGATGACACTCCTCAGAGCAAAGCGAAGAGGCTAAGCATTACTTTTGGGGCTTCCCACGACGAGACGCGCCGCGAACATGCACGGAGCTTGCGGAGCTCGAACGCCTCTCATGACAAGCTCAAGCAGACCGCACTGCAAGTGTGCATGAGGCCGTGTTTATGCCCATGTCGCAGAAACTTGTAGCAGGTCGTGGAACTGCTTTGAGCACGTTTTCAGGAGTACTGCGGTTGACATGACCTTGGCGGCGGTCATTTTGCTAAGCTCGGTCCTGGTCGGGTTCGAGGTGGGGATGATCGAGTTTCCAAAGATGACGCTTGGCGTGGCCGGGCGTTCCAATTGACAAAAAGGTCCAGTACACAGCGACAGACAGTTCAAGTGCCCTCCCAGACGTCTTTGCCCGGCCCTCAGCTTTCCATGCTCCTGAACGACCCCAAGTGCGAGCTGGCAGGTAGCAGCCCGCATGACCCTCAATGCGATCCTTGCTTTGGAGCTTCTGCTGCGAGTGCAGTTTGGCAGCAAAATATCGAGTTTCCGGGGAAAGTTGAGCTTTGCAGCTTAGTGCCTTGTGCCATGAATGGTCAAGGTATGCCTTCGGTTGGCGCTGGTCTGCGCGCCAAGGCCCTCTTGTGAACACTTGATTGGTTCCGAGGTTCCGGTCTCTTGCCATGGCGAATTGCAGGCTGTACCTGGTTCTTCTTCGATGCTTTCCTCGCAGCGGGATCAGCTGTAGAACTTGGCTTAGACTCTTGGCTTTCTTTTCGGGCGTCGCATCTTAAGGTGATGAAGCAAAAACTGTGGGGCTGGGCTATTTCCAACTATTGCCACCCCAGGACATTCGCAGCTTCTTTTACGAGCCGTGGGAGGGATTGCCTGGTTTCTCACAGCTGCGCCTGTTGAAGATCCTGCGGGTGCCTGCGCATGTTACAGCACTACAGCACGCACTTTGGCAGATCGCTGACGAGGGTAGTTTGCACACGTTTGTGCCAGGTGACCCGGCTGCTGCGTGCACTGCGGATTCCTTCACTCTTGAAATATGTTGGTCCTCTGCAGACCCTCGCTGCCCAGCCCTATAGAAATGGAGTTTCCTCTAAATTCACACTTATGCCCTTGATCCTTCCATGCAAATCAACGAGGCTGAGGCCATGGCATTGAGCGCATACAACATGTGACCCCTGCCGTCATAGATCGAGGTTTCATCGATTTCTCACACCCTGTGGTATCTTGTTTGGGCGGAGACTCGTCAATGCATTGCAGATCCCGCACCCACTTTTTTCCATGCCTTTGGATGACCGAAGCAGAAGCAAGGGGCGAGCATCTGTAGCAAGTCGGCTCCGAGGCGGTCCTGCTGGTGCTGATGATCTACACCGTGCCCAGATTCAACCGAATCTGCTAAAAACTGTGCGGTTCGTTAGTCACCGGCTTCAGGCAGATTTTCTGTAAGCCTATATTTCCAAGTGCAGCTGCCAGAGCCCGATGTCATGTGGTTATTTGGTCAGGTTTCAATCCTCTTCGCCCAGACAGTGACTGCCCATGTAATCACGGAGGGGGTGGAAGCTGTCGAGGATACAAAGCCAGCCTTGATTCTTTGCTGCAAGAGTTAGACCCACTGCAAGGACGTTTGTTTCTGTTGAATGGCTTTCCCTGTCGCTGGATGTGTATTGCCTTCCGTATATACTGTTTCCCGTCATGTGTGCGCTCGCCTCAGTGATGCTTCCGATTGGAGTGTCTCCAACTCTCGAATGCTTTGTTTTGGGATGTATTCTTCCCGTTCAGACATGAGCAGGGTGCTGCGGATATGTGCAAGAAGGGGAGCAATCCAGCTGACACTCCATTGAGACATTATTCCAGTGTCCCAGGCTGGATTTCTGGAAAGACCTCTTCACATCAATGACCACTTGCTTCATGGCAATATCGGGCGGCATCAACTGGCAGCTGGTGTATGTTCCCTTGAACGAGCTGGACCCAATCATGGGCTTCATCTTTATACTATACATCTCGTTTACGTATTTTGCGTTACTGAACATTTTAACTGGTGTGTTCTGCAACAGCGCGATGGAAGCACTATCGAGAGATCCTGACATCGTCGCTATCTCGAAAGATGCGACACACTTGCGCAATCAGTTGCCGAAAGCTTAGCTTTGTCAAACAACATCTCGCAGGATGAGTTGCTCAGAGCCGCCACAGCTTTTCCTCTTTCCCTTCTCGACAGTTGATTCTGCATAGTCGCTCACAGGTCAAACCTGTTCTACTTTATTGACAAGGATGACTCTGAAGGGATCACGCTTGATGAATTTGAAGTATCTTGGAAAGCTTTAAATTGTTCTCCCTCAGCAGTTGTAGTGACTAAGTCCATGCAGCGGTTCGTGGGAAATTTAAGGTATGGATGGCAGAGGAGAACGGAAAGTTTAACTTGCAAGCTCTGGGAATCGAAGGAGGTCCGGTCGCTACCAACATGTGCAAGCAAGAGAGTCTTGGGAGCCGACGTTTGGATGCGAGGGGATGCGTGGACTTTGTTCAAGCTTCTTGATGAAGAAGCCTGCGGTTCAATCTCAAAGGATGCTGGGAACCGAGTTTCCACAAAGCACGTGGGACCCCGACACCCAGGACGCTTTCAAACCTATATTTTCGTTACCAAGGCCTTTGTAGATGGCTGCCTGCGCTTGCGAGGCAGTGCTTCAGGCGCTTGCTCAGTCGACTGTCTCATGACATACTGCAAGCCCTCGGCCGCTTAGGTGTGGACATGGCAACGTTGCGTTGCGAATCGAGGGCAATGCAAGAACTGCTGGGCTTGCTCGTCATGCGGCTGGATGCATCGACATTCCCGAAGCCACGCAGGCCTGAGTTGACCACACGTGGATCTGAAGAGAGTTCCCTTGCACGTGCGCAGGCCATCTTTTCCCAAGAGGCTCTCCAAGAGAAGTGTGGATACAACCATTGCCTGAACAGATCGGTTTTACCCGCTTCTCTGAGTCATATCTCTTGCACTACAACGGCAGCAAAAATTCAGTCAATTCAGTGCATGTGGCATGTGTCAGCAGGACACGGTTCTTGACAAAAGAGATCTCGTATGGTAGTATGTGCACTGAATCAAATTCCGTCTGGACCAGGAACCAGTGCTCCCTCTTGCACGGCAGTTAAAATTTTCTGCGCTACCGACACTGACCGCTATGCCCGCTGTGCATTGCACGCAGAGGCGAGTCACGTTTTCTTCCAAAAGGAAGACGTCTTTGAGCAGAAGGAATGCATTCCATCCCTCGAAGAGATGAGAATGCGGATGGTTTATCTTCCGCTAACAGCGAACAAATCTCCCAGCTCGTTCAGAGCCTGAGCCTGTACAACTTTTCTTGCGTGTTGTTGGTTCCTCGCCACGGAATGGTCCTATGGTGGCCTAGTTTTGTGAGGACCGACGCGCGCAAACTCAGACGGGGAATGCAAGCAAAGCCGCTGAAATGCTTTTTTGTTGTTGGCTGTAGGTTCAAGCTGCAGAGTCTAGGAATGTTTTGTCAAATTCTAAATCTTTTCGCAGCTTGCAGGCAGTGGCAGCTGACGTTGAGGTGGGAATTTTGCTCCGGGCCGACCCCAGGTCACCAGCCACCGGCCTCAGAGCTGATGAGCAGCACAGTCGGGCGGATGTCAGTGGTGTGGCACCATGCGCCCAAATTCATGTTCCCGTGAGGCAGGACCTGGCGGATCATGCTGGCCAGCTTCTCCACACCAGGTTCGCCGACGCACGTGAGTGTGCATGGCTACCAGCTGACCTTGACGCCAGGTGCCATACTTGGAGCTGGCAAAGCGATCAGAGGCGACAGTCTCAGATAGCATCGAGGGAACTTGCACATGAGTCCCAGAACAGTCAGTGCTGCACACAGGCTCAGACCCCATCATTTGTCTTAAGGCGCAGGATAAACACTTCGATGCTTGGTTGCTATATGGCAAAGCGACTGAGGCTCGTTTCGGCTGCTCGCGGGGGCATTGTAAAGCCGAGCTAGTTTTCCGTTCTCGTGACTTCTTGGTGGATGGTCTCGCTGGGACAGGGAAGTGTGAATTCCGCGGAGCTTTTCAGATGCAGGGCGACCTGTGCCCTCGCCATGGCCCTGGAATTCCTGCCGCCCCTGCCTTGCGAAGAAGGGAGCAACAAAACGGTTGTTCTCTCAGGCAGCAAACCTCGCCGCCTGTGCCGTTGCCGACGCATGCAGGGGAGTTGAGATGGGAGATGCCAGAAGCTAAGAGGCTAAGAGGTCTTGCCGGACTCATCCTCGAGGCCACCATGGTTTTTCGGTGGGAAGGTTGTCGGAGCCTTGCCCGAGGCCCTTTGTCACGAGATTATGGCAGCAGCCCTGGCGTACCTCATTGTGCTTCCATCCGGATCAGCCGCATGAGCACATGTGTCCCGTAAACGGCAAGGCACGCGGTTTGGAGTCGCTTAACAGCGTGGCACCCACCATTCCCCTTGGGCTCAGAGTGGAGCCCAGCGGCTTGAGGACTCGAAGATGCTCTTCGTGCTGCGGAGAAAGGCCTCGCACCTAGAAAAGCAGCGTGTGGGGCACAGAGGCTGCGCCTTCTCAGGAGCGAGGCTGCTGCATGGCAGCCCTTCCGGCACGCTGCTGCAGGAGATCGATCGAGAGAAGAAGACGAAGAAATGGTTGTCGCGGTTCGGTTGCTGAGGCTATTTGGTGTTGTTCTACTCAACTGAATTCCATGGATGAGGCCCCATTCAACTCAATGACCACGGTCGAACCCTCGCCTCCTTTAAAACGCGCGTGAGCCAGAAAAGTCGATTTTGGGGAAGCTGGCCGAGGGGCTTTTGATTCGCTGTCAGAGTCAGGCATTCGATTGCGCGAGGACGCCTTACGGGGAGGTGTCCTCCGGGTGGATGCACATGGGCATGGAGTTACCGGCACTGAATGCGCTGGAATGCTTTCTACGACACTTGCCTTTGGCTGCTGCTAATCGTGGTATGCCATTCGCTCTCATGCTTAATGCTTCTTCTGATGCATCTTTCTTTCCTGATTTGTTAGTCCCGCTGCAAGGCAGAGTATTCTCGCAGCTTCCAGTTGTTTTATTTGAGCAAGTTCCGCCTTCATGGGTCTATCGTGTGCAGTGTCTTCAGGCCTTTGGTGGTTTCGTTGTGTCGAATAACG